GCACCTGAGTTCTTCAGCTGTAAAATGAGGACATTAGACCAGCTGGCCTCTGCATGGTCTTCCAGCTCTAAATCTCTGGTCCTACAACATGACAGACAGACGGTGGGTGATCAGAGAAAACCAGGTCAGGGCTATCCCAAGGAAAATAGTCAGGTGGGTGAATGGGGAAGGAGCAAGCAGAAGGAAGAACAGTTGCACCATCGAGAGATCTTTGTTTCTTCCTCCCCTCCGCCATCTGTTCCTGGGTTGCCGGGAAAAGAAGGAAGAGCTGACACCAGAGATGATGGACTAATGTGTGACGAGATGGATTCTCATAGGAGTGTGCTCATCGGACCAAAGATTTAGAGCTTAAAGGTGAGACTGGAGATCTGCCTCAATCTCCTTGTTTTTCAGAAAAGGAAACTAAGGCCCAGGGAGACTAAATAATTTGCCTAGAGGCAACTCAATAGGAATCTGGCCTCAGACACTTACTAGCTGTGTAACTATGGACAAGTCACTCAACTCTACTGGCCTCAGTTTCCTCATCTGTAAAATGAGCTGGAGAAGGAAATGGCAAACCATTCCAGTATCTTTGCCAAGAAAACCCCAAATGGGGTCACAAAGAGTTAACACAACCGAACAACAACAATACCTCAACAGGTGTTTAGGCCAGACAGGGATTTATACCAGGTCCTCAGACTCAATCCGTTTATATCATTGGAATCGTCTTGTATCTTGTTTCACTGGTTCTGCTCACTTCGTTTCGCATCAGTTCATTTAACTCCACCATGTTTCTTGGCTAGGTGTCACAGCACAATAATCTTCCATTACATTCATATATAACAATTTACTGAGCTATTCCCCCATCAATGGGCATCTGCTTTGTTTCCACTTCTTTGCTGCTACAAAAGAAGCTGCTATAAATATTATGGTGTATCACGGGGCCTTTCTATCATTGACCTCTTTGGTGTAGGTGCCCAGCTGTGGGATCCCTGGATTAAAAGGAAAGAACTGTTTTATTCGCTAGGCCCTGTGAGGGTAATACGATGCAAGCTACACCTAAAGGGAATTCTTTGCTAGGGTTTGTAGCTGAAAAACTTTATTTGCCTTAAGGCACATATGCAAATAATTTTAAGATTCCTAGAAATCGCCATCACATACAACCATTACCACAGTGGGTTCTTTCTTACAAGCAGGCCCTAATGGCTACCTCTGTGCCTGGTAAATAGTCACTGCTAACAAAGTCAGTAGGTTTCCATTCTTTCTTCATGCTAAGCCTTACACAAGTAGGGACCAAATCTCTCTTGTGGTTGGGACAGGAAAGAAGGAAAAACTACTGATTATAGGCTGCCCCATAGCGAGCGTGTGCCAGGGGCCAGCCCTGCGAGCACAGAAAGCTGTGTTCTAATGGGGCTCCAGCATCCTCTGCTGGCCAAGCCCTTGATTTTTAGGGAAGAATGGAATTTCAGTGCCAGGTGCAGCTGAAACAAAACTAGAAGAGCACACTTGGAGAGAACAGCTGATTTTTTTTTTTTTTCTGGCTCAGGCTGGTTAGTTAGCACACAGGGCTGCCCACCGTCCAAGCTTCATTCCCAAAAGGGTCAGTTACTTTCAGAGGACCAAAAATGGTTTGACAGTCACAACTGTTGTGTGTGTGT